AATCACATCATTTCCATTACAGTCTTTGTTGATGGACTATATGATCCTCCATCATGATCACTGAATGGCTGCAGGTCATAAAAGTGCCAACACATGAACCTGTTGTGTTGAACAATTCCCAGGAAGTGGTGACTCTCCTCCCCAGCTCTAGCACTTGTGCTTATGACTACATGGTCCTTGACTTTAAAACTTTTACTGGCTTAATTGTTTTCTGTAGCTGCAGTGTTTTGTTTCTGTGCTGCTGAACTTTGTCATGTGCCATTTGAGACTCTGTGAGGCTGATGTCATACTTTATCATTAGCACTGGAGCTGATGCAAGATCATAAATTATCAATTACCACAAAGAAAGCATTTTTTTAAATTACTGAAACACCATGAGGTACAGTTGTAGACTTACAGACTTTCGTGCTTGGGTTTCAGTTATACAGTGATAGAGTACCCATCCCTCCACCAGTGCCCATTCTCCACCACCACTGATCCCAGTAGCCCTCCCACCCTCCACCCCATTCCCCTCACCCCACCCTGACTCTGTGGCAGGGCATTCCCTTTTGCTCACTCTTTCCTTTAGGGTGTTGTAGTTTGCAATAGAGGTATTGAGTGGCCATTGTGTTCAGTTTATAGTCTACTTTCAGCACGCATCTCGCATCCAAACATCCACCAAACATCCACAAATAAAGCATTTTGCAGAACAAGTTCCTCTTTATCCATTTTAGAAAGGGCTCAAGGGAGAGACTCTTTGTAGCTCCACAATTTGGATGTTTTCTTTTGATTTTTTTCCAGGAAGGATTCATATGGAGATATGGTTGTGGAGAACTTTGTTAATGGGTTGCTGAGTTCTCATGACTAGATTCAGAGCTCTGATTTGTGTGTGTGTGTGTGTGTGTGTGTGTGTGTGTGTGTGTGTGTGTGGGCGGGGGGGAGGTATGGCGCCACATCTAGTTGTGCACAGGTGCTACTCCTTGCTCTTTATTCAAGGGTCACTTATGGGGGGTACTCTGGGGAACACATATGGTGCTAGAGATCCAACCAAGGTCACTTGCATACAAAGGTAAAAAGGCAAAGGTAAAGACCCTCCCGTTGTTCGTTGATTTGCTCGAGCGGGCCCAGTAACGTCTCCATTGGAGACTTTGTTGTTACTGTGTCTGGCATATCGAATACTCTCGGTAGCTTGTCGGGCTCTCTGAGAGGGGCGAGGAATTGAACTCGGGTCGGCCATGTTGGCTGCGTGCAAGGCAAACGCCCTACCGCTGTGCTATCGCTCCAGTATTTTAACCCTTTGTGCTATCCCTCTGGTCCTATTTTTTTTTTTTTGGTCAAGCCTTTTGGTCACAGATGATCTCGGAGCTCCCAATGTGATTGCTCATGACACAAATTACTAGGATACTAATGTATTTCCCATATTATTGAAAAATTATTATTACATTTTGATGTAGCTTTTTGTTTTGGTTTAGATGTATAAAAGTGGATTTATTGACTAGTCTCTTCTACAATCACAATCAATCACAAATCATCCTGTTAGTCGTCGATTGCCTCGAGCAGGCTCCAGTAACGTCTCCTTCATGCTAGCCCTGAGATTACATTCAAGGCTATTTAGGAGAATGAGACCCATCATTGTTACTGGTATTTGGCATATTGGGTACGCCACAGGGAGTTTGCCAGACTCTGCCGTGTGGGCAGGCTACATTCGGTAGCCTGCCAGTTTGTCCAAAGTAGGAATGAGATATAAGATGTCATAAAAAGATGCATTCGCGGCATTCGCGGCGGCGCGGTTCCGGGAGCTGGTTTTTATAGTCTCTGAGTCTTGGCCACTGATGGGATTACACGGCGCCAGGGGGCCAGTTGGTGGGTGTGACCCCCGCCTACTGGAATTTGGAGGAGCTGGGTGGAGGATGCTTGGCCCAAATCCGAGTAGGCTTGGAGATCTCGGCCCCGGAACCCGCGTGACTTTGTCCCTCTGCCAGTCTCTTCTACATGTTTAAAAAAACAAAACCCTGAGCCAGAGAAATAGCACAGGGACCAAGTCACTGTCTTGCATATGGTCAACCCCTGTTTGATTTCAGCACACATAGGATTCCCTGAACACCACCAGAAGTGCTTCCTGAGCACAGAGCCAGCCAGGAATAAGCCCTGAGCATTGTCAGCGTGACCCCTTCACCCTAAATCCAAATAAAAAAAACAGTATCACCAAAAACTCTTTTGTAATGAGAAAGTCCCTCCCCCCCCCCCCCCCCCATGTTAGCAGCACCCTTTGGCAGTTCAGGAGAGACCTGAGTGCTTCTTGGATGCAGCAAGACAGTCTAGGCTCATGGAGCATGTGCATTTAGAAGCAGCTAGCTAGGTTTCCGGGTGACTCATGAAGGAATCTCCTAGCCAACTGCTGCCACAGTGGGCTCTTTCCTCCCAGGATGCTGGAGGACAGTATTTGTGCCACTGCCCTGAGCCCTCCAACAGACTTGACCCTGCTGCCCCTTTTGTAGATGAGATGCTGATTTCCCAGTCAAAGGCTAAGCAGAGGTTCTGTGGAGGCGTCAGCACGAGCCTTGGCTCAGTCTGTCCCCAGATGTATCCTTCAGGTGACAGACCTCTCACCTGGAAAAGGGGCTCAGGGATGGTTCCCTCAGTGCATGCCAGGACATGGCATGGCATGTGGTACACTGGGTGAGGGACTGGCTTGTGGTGAGGACCCTATTCACATTGGCTGTGACTGTTGTAGCTGCCTGCAGCTAAGGCATAAGCAGATGTTACATATCAGTAAAGATGGATGCTAGTTAAAGTGATGAGGATAGATTTTAATGAGTAATAACTTGCATTAGGAAACTACATCCAGTGTTGAACTTAACTCATGTTTGATCTATGCAGAGGTGACTGGGTATTCTAATGGGAAAATAAAGGTGTAAATGGGAAAGATGATATAATCTTGGGACAATGAGTACATCAGCTTGCCTTGTAGATTGAAGGAAGAAAAAGAAAAGATCGTGGTCTTAACAGTGAAAATAAAGGCCCTGTGTTCATGTCAGAACTTGGGCCCTGACCAAGGTTTTTAAGAAAATGAAGTGAGAAGAGTAGGGCTTTGAATAGATTAGTGATAATGCACGGAATTGAAGAATTGGAATGGTTACTAGGAAATTAGTGCAACTAATTCAAACTTCTTTAATGCTCCCTTATTCTATGCATTGGTTATAAGTATTCTTTTCTTTTACTATTGATTATTTCTACCTAAAGAGTAAAATTAATAACAGCAAAAGTACTTCACACATCATTATCTTAGGTTTTATAGCTATTGAGAGAACTGTGGCATAGAGAATTTAACTAACTTGTAAGGGTTTTAGATACTAAATTTGGCATTTGTGGCAGGGATAGCTGATTGATTCATGATGTCAATCCCTGCTTCTATTTTATTATAAAAATATTTTGGTCATACTCTGCAGTGTTTAGGGTCTCTGTGCATTGGGGTTGCTCCTTTACCAGAGTTCTAATGAGGATCTCCCCCTGAGAGCATACACCCAGTCTGGTAAGCTAGCTCTCTGACCCCAGCTCCTGCTTTTAAACCAAAGATGTGTTTTTCTTCTATTTTTGTCTCTGAGACCTTGTAAAGGAAGTATCAAAATAAAGGAATATTTTTGAAACACTTTGTTGGCTTACTGTGATATGTGAGCAGGTCCCAAATCAGCTCTCTTGCTGTCATCTCGGGCAAATCAGCCCATCAACCCTGGAGCCTCATTCTCCTCATCTTTAGAATGATGCTGGCTCTAGGGATGCTGTGAGAGGTATAAAGACAGAGGTGATGTAGATAATTATGACCCTGAGACTTTACTAATATACAAACTAACCACTTACTGTGGTGGGTTATGTTAGTAGTGGGTCCACTACTAACATAAAGAACATGTTAAAATATTAAACTGGTGATGAATGTGGAATAAAAATAAGGGGGGGATTAACAGTCCTTTCTTAAGTTAGCAAAGTTTAGCAGTCAAATCAGATACACTGCAAAACATTAATACAGACTTGGAATGTTTTATAAGAAAGATACCAGAAAAGAATGATATGAACATCTTAGACAGGTAAAGTAACACTCTCCATTTCACTAAGAATGTATTAAAAGAAGACAGAGTATTAACTGTGGCAACAGATTGAGTCCGAGGATCAACACCATCATGGTTCTTGGACCCATGTATCTGCTCTGATGTCAGATCATGGCTCTTTAGAATGGAGATATTGGGAGGATGTACTTATTTCTTCAAACCAGTACTTTCCCCCTTCATGGGAAGTATAGCAAGAATAAAGGGTACCATGGGTGAGCATTGTTTTTATTGTAACAGTTCTCAGAATATTTAACACATAATTTTGACATTCCAGAAGGAATACTAATAGTAGACAATTGTCTCTAGGTAATGGTATTCTTGTGTTCCTTGGATTACCTTGGGTAAATGCTATCCCATTTCTTCCATGACGAATACAGTTCTTCAGTCAACACCAGGCAGTGTTCCCTCCACCTGGAAGTCTCACCTCAAGGCTTTTTCCAGAGCTTCCTCGCCCTGTTTTCATTAGGTCTCAGTTAAGGGGTCCCTCTCCCAGAGATCACCTCTCACTGCTTGACCCCATTACACTTCACCCCAAAGTACTTATTTCTACTTTTTGTTTGTCTTTGGGTCACACCAGTGGCACTCAGGGCCTACTGCTGGCACTGTGCTCAGGGATCATTTCTGGTGGGCTTGAGAGACTGTATGTGGTGCCTGAAATGCAACCTAGGTTGGCTGTGTGCAGGATAAGAGCCTTGCCCACTAGACTGTCTCTCCGGTTCAAACTACTTATTTCTATTTGGAATGTTTGAAAGGTTTAAAATTGCAAACCTTTGTTAACAGCTTTGTTCTTGGACTCTCCTGTTAGTGTGCATATTCCCTCACTAACACAAAAGCCTCTTGCACATCGTATGCAGCAAATGCTTCTTTGAAGGAAATACAGAAGCAACTAGAATTGGCTTAATTATTTCCCTTCAACAGGGTAGAAGATCATGATGCTCTTATGCCAATATTGATGCGCCATGATACGTTTCTGAAGGAGACATATGGGGAATACTTCCTGGCTGAGCTAATTGAGGCCCAAGATGAAGAGAACCAGGCTGCTGTGTGTGAGGTTGGTGACTCCCCCACTGCGCATGTGCTAGGTCAGAAAAATGACAAAGAGCCATTGTTCCTGTTTCTCAGAATACCCCTGGAGCCGTTGCCTTCTCTGCCTTTCTCTAGGCCTGGCTAGATGGTCTCCCAGGCCTACTTCTGAGCTGCAGCATCATCAACCCTCTCAGGGTTGCAGCCTCCAGGCTTTCAGGCTTGGCGGTTTCTTTGGGCACCCTTGGTGCTTCGGATGTTTCCATTGTCCTAAGGTCAGGAGGGGAAGGAAAGCTCCCTGAGGGCAATTCGGGAAATTTCTCTGATCTGGCAGTCCTAGGTCACAGAGCAAGAAGTCTCAAACCGTCATGTTGATAGAACATAGATTTTTCTTGACTTGGAAACTGTTTTTTTAAAAGCTGTTTTGACAAGATTTTATTCTTACAGAAAACTTTTTTTTTAGTTACTTTTTTTTTTTATTAGTGAAACAACATGAGGTACAGTTGTAGATTTACAAATTTTTGTGCTTGGGTTTCTTTTATACAATGATCAAATACCCATCCCTCCACCAGTGCCCATTTTCCGCCACCATGGATAATATCCCTCCCCCCCATCCCCCCTATCCCACCCTGCCACTGTGGCAGGGCATTTCCCCCTGTTTTCTCTCTCCTTTTGGGTGTTGTGGTCAGCAAAAGAGGCATTGAGTGGCAAACATGTTCAGTCCATAGTCTACTTTCAATCTGCGTCTCCCCTCCTGGGAGGATCCTCCAAACACCCTTTATTTGGTGCTCCCTTCTCTATCTGAACTGCGCTTTCCCCTAGAATGCCTGGCTGGCCTCTAAGCTATGGAGTAATCCTCCTGGTGTTGATCTCAGCTATTCTCGGGTATTAATCTCATATTTTGTTATTTTATATCCCCCAGATGAATGTAATCTTTCTATGTCTATCCCTCTCTTTCTGACTCATTTCACTTAGCATGATACTTTCCATATTGTACCACTTGTATGCAAATTTCATGACTTCATCTTTTCTAAGAGCTACATAGTACTCCATTGTGTAGATGTACCAAAGTTTCTTTAACCAATCATCTGTTCTTGGGCACTCAGGTTTCTTCCAGGTAAAGAGTGCTGCAATGAACAAACAAGTGCAGATGTCACTTCGACTATACATTTTTTCTTACAGAAAACTTTTAAGTGGCCACTTTCACTAAATGTTTACTTGCCCACACTTACTTTATCATTCTCTTTTCTTGCTTTCCATTTAGCTAGTCATATGACCAACGTAGATTTATATTTGTTTCTGATCTATTTGAGAGTTAGTTTCAATTAAAACATTCTTTTAATACCAAAAACTTAAGTGGTTTCTTTTCTTTTTATTTTTTTAAAATTTTATTGAATCACCGTGAGATAGTTACAAGCTTTCATGTTTGAGTTACAATCACACAATGGTCAAACATCCATCCCTCCACCAGTGCACATTTCCCACTACCAATATCCCCAGTATACCCCCCCTTACCCACTCTCCCCCTGCCTCCATGGTAGACATGATTTCCCCATAATATATCTCTACTTTTGGGCATTATGGTTTGCAATACAGAGCCTGAGAGGTTATCATGTTTAGTCCTTTATCTACTTTCAGCACACATCTCCCATCCCTACCGATTCCTCCAGCCATCTTTTTCTTAGTGATTCCTTCATGACTTCATCTCTCCTAACAGCTGCATAGTATTCCATTGTGTAGATGTACCAAAGTTTCTTTAACCAGTCATCTGTTTTAGGGTACTAATGCCAGGCACAAAAGTCAGATCAAAGTGGATTAAAGACCTCAATATCAGACATGAATCCATAAGATACACAGAGGAAAATGTAGGCAGGACTCTCCACAATATTGAAGCTAAAAACATCTTTAAGGATGAAACAGCACTGACCATGCAAGTGGAAGCAAACATAAACAAATGGAACTAGATCAAACTAAGAAGCTTCTGCACTTCAAAAGAAACAGTGACCAAAATACAGAAAGAGCCCACAGAATGGGAAAGAATATTTACCTAATACCCATCTGATAAGGGATCAATATTCAGGATATACAAGACATTAGTAGAATTGTACAAGAAAAAACCCTCCAACCCCATCAAAAATGGGGAAAAGAAATGAACAGAAGTTTCCTCAAAAAAGAAATACAAATGGCCAAAAGGCACATGAAAAAATACTCCACATCGCTAGCTATCAGGGAGATGCAAATCAAAACAACAATGAGATAACCAAAGAGGTGAAGGACCTACACAAGGAAAATTACAAAACACTACTTCAAGAAATAAAAGAAGACACTGGAAAATGGAGACACATCCCTTGCTCATGGATAGGAAGGATTAATATTATCAAAATGGCAATACTTCCCAAAATACTATACAAATTCAATGCAGTCCCTATTAGGATACCTATGACATTTTTCAAAGAAATAGACAAAACACTCCTGAAATTCATATGGAACAATAAACCCCCATGAATAGCTAAAGCAATCCTTGGGAAAAAGAAGATGGGTGGCATCACCCTCCCCAAATTCAAACTGTACTACAAAGCAGTAGTCATTAAGAAAGCATGGTACTGGGCTAGAAACATACTGCAGACCAATGGAACAGAGTTGAATTTTCTGTGACAGACCCCCAAATATATGACCACTTAATCTTTGACAAAGAAGTAAGAAATGTGAAGTGGAACAAGGAAAGCCTCTTCAACAAGTGGTACTGGGAAAACTGGATAGCTACCTGCAAAAAAATGAACTCTGACCTCTGTCTAATGCCAGGCACAAAAGTCAGCTCAAAGTGTATTAAAGACCTCAATATCAGACATGAATCCATAAGGTACATAGAGGAAAATGTAGGTAGGACTCTCCACGACATTGAAGCTAAAAACATCTTTAAGGATGAAACTGACCATGCAAGTGGAAGCAAACATAAACAAATGGGACTACATCAAAATAAGAAGCTACTGCACTTCAAAAGAAACAGTGACCAAAATACAGAAAGAGCCCACAGAATGGGAAGAATATTTACCCAATACCCATCTGATAAGGGATCAATATACAGGATACACAAGACACTAATAGAATTGTACAAGAAAAAAAACTTCCAACCCGATCAAAAAATGGGGAGAAGAAATAAACAGAAGTTTCCTCAAAAAAGAAATACAAATGGCCAAAAGGCACATGAAAAAATACTCCACATCGCTAGCTATCAGGGAGATGAAAATCAAAACAACAATGAGATATCATCTCACACCACAGAGACTGGCACACATTCAAAAGAACAAAAGCAACCAGTGCTGGTGTGGATGTGCGGAAAAAGGGAAGCTCTTTCACTGTTGGTGGGAATGCCCACTAGTCCAGCCTTTCTGGAAAATAATATGGACAGTCCTTCAAAAAATAGAAATTGAGCTTCCATATGACCCTGCAATACCACTTCTGGGAATATATCCCAAGGATGCAAAAAAGCACAGTAGAAATGATATCTGTACCTATATGTTCATTGCAGTACTGTTCACAATAGTGTTTTCTTAAAAATAAGGATGTTCTTTTACCCTGTAATACAGGGACTGAATCAAGCAATTATGATGCCTACTATTTTTAAAATTATAATTTAGAGATCCTTTTTCAATGTTATTAACCATTCCAGTAATATCCTTAATAAAAGAAAAAAACGTAAACCACTCATATACCTGTATATTCAGTCTCCTCCTCCTCCTCCTCCTCTTCCTCCTCCTCCTCCTCCTTCTCCTTCTCCTCCTTTTCCTCTTCTTCCTCCTGCTCCTCCTCCTCCCCCTCCTCCTCCCTCACTCTGCTCTGGTCAATCTCTTCTTATCTGAAACAAGTCCCAGGTCTTCCTTTGTCTTTCATAGCATAATATCTTTGGCACATGTAGGTCAGGTATTTTGTGAAATGTCTCCCAACTTAAGTTTTTTCCAGTGTTTCCACTGTAATGGACTAAATTTTATTGTTTTAGTGACTGCCCTTTAAAGATTAGAAGGTGGACCAGAAAGACAGAATGGGAGAGAAGGCACTTTCCTTGCATATACTACTTTAACCAACTCTGACTTGATCTCCAGCACTGCATATGGTCCTCTGGGCACTGCTAGAGGTAACTCCTGAGCACAGAGCCAGGAATATCTCCTGAGACCCACTCGATATGGATCCAAAACATAACTTGCCTGCAAATAAATAGATAAAATAAAAAGTAGGAAGGTTGGGAGGGTAGCTCAGTGATCGATCTGCATGTTGCATGTGGGAGGCCCTGGGTTTGATCCCCAGGACTGAAAGAAAATAAAAAGATAAATAAGAAATATGTTTAAAATAACTGGAATTTCTAGAAGAATAAGAAATTCTGTGTACTGGGTCTGATTTTCTGAGAGTTACTGTGCCTTAGAACTGAGAACAGCTGTCAGTGAGGACAGTGCAGTGACTGAAGACAGAACTGCTCCTAGTGAGTCCCATGGGGAGTGCCCACTTCATGCCCTCTTTCTTTCTTTGTACCAGCTCAGCCCTGTGACTGTATGCTCTGTGAGCACCCTCATTATAGTGTACACTCAGCCATACTTCACAGTGGGAGTGGGAATGGGAGAGCAAAAAGACGGAATCCACACCATCTGGTTTGCTAGTTATAGGATTGGCCAGAGGTTCACACCCAGTGGAAGAGTTGAGAAGAATCAAAAAGAAAGCTGGTAGCTCTCTAGGCTTTGTCTAGCTGAGCCGTGAGAAGCCTAACGCATAATCTGAGCAGCTCTGAAGCTCATGAGACCACTGAATATTAGTTAAGTGGACTTTATATCTGCATTTGTCCCCATAAGACTTATTAAAGAAGATAATATTTCTGATAGTGGGACTTAAGGCATTGAAATATTTTCAGATTTTTAAAATTATTTTGACAAAAGACCCTGTACAAGCCAAGGAATTGGGAGTAAAAAGAAGAAAAAGGGGTATTGATCTTCCTGACTGTAAACTAGACTGCAAAGAAATAGTAATTAAAAAGTGTAGCAA